AAAAAAAAAAAAAGAATAAAAAATGACAAAAAAATTGCTGCAAAATTGCCTGCAACGTCTGCATGCATTACTGACAGTATTACGTTGCAGGGGAGATATGTAAACCTAAGAAGTTTCTAGTGAGCATGGAGGGTACAGCATGAAATATAGTCCTATACCACAAATGCCAGCTGCATTAAATATTTTCTGTATTATGTTCAAGATATTTTTGTAACAGGATATGTTTTGTTCTTCTGGACACAGTAGATACACACACACACACACACACACACACACACACACACACACACACACAGACAGACAGACAAAACAAAACTGTAAATTAAGAAGTATTTTTCTTAAAGATCATTGGCTTTAAAACAAGAACAAATAAAGCCATGTTACACTGTGTCACGGTTCTGGGTCAGTTTCGAACCAGTATTTTAAGTTTTGATTGTTAGTTTATTTTTCGAATGATTATTGTGGTTTTGGGTGCGATGATTATTATTATTATTATTATTAGAGTTCCATGTTTCCTGTTTATTTGGGTTTAAGATTTGTGTTCTCATGTTTTGTGTGGGTGTAGTTTCATGTGTCATTTTCTGTCTGTCTCTCTATGTCGAGTCTGCGTCTTAGTGTGATGGTTTCTTGTTCCTGTTTTATTGTGAAGGTCTGCGTCTCATGTGAGTGTGTTCAGTTTTACCTCTGTCTCGTCTTGTTGATTATTCCCAGCTGCGTATCCACCATGTTTCATCCGTGTGTTCCCTGCCGTCATCATCATGTACCATCGTCTTCCTTCCTTTATGTTCAGGTTCGTGTTCTTGTTCGTGCTCAGTAGTTTAGTTGTCCCAGTATAGTTTAGTTCTCCATTTTGCCGTTTGCCTCTCTTTTTTGTGTTCTATAAATCACCTTCACACCTTCACGACTGCCTGCATTTGGATCCTCCTTTTCCTTTTCCACGCGGCTCTTCTCACTCGCCGTGACACACTGTCTTTCTGGTAATTTATATGATTTCAGTAAAGTAAAGTAAAAAAAAAAAGGATGTACTTCAATACTAAAAAGGGAAACCGTCTCATTGTGCAAATTTATTTCCGTTCATGTTCTCTAAAAGCGTGACCGTGAATAAAATTTGTTTAAAATTTTATTGTACACATACTGATGAAGTAAATTCTCTAGCCTCTATTTCTATACTTCATATATTTACATCAGCCCCAGCATGTTTGTTTTTTTGTGACAGATTCATTCTTTTTAAGGTTGTGCACAGAGATCGTTTTTTATTTGTTTTTTGAAAGTAAGGTTATAGCTTAGAAATTTTGATTCTTACAAGTGTCGTGTGTATGGTCAGCATATAGAAAGTACCGTATAAAGACTTAAATTGTCATGTCAGATTTGACCTCTGACCTCTCATTCAAAATCAATAGACTGATTCAAAGGTCAACGTGATATTAATGCAATAAAGAGCTATTAAGAACTATGTCCCTTACTGCAATGTTGTACTGAAAACATAAAGGGACTGATAACCCTTTTTCAAGGTCAAGCAAGATCAAACTATAAAGATAAAGACGCGTCAAAATCACATGACCAATTTAAGACTGAACATAAACTATTTTTTTGGACTGGCACAAATAATTTGTGTGACTTCTTATTTCATGCAGCACACCTGATTGTTCTGTAAATAGATTTAAATGGCTATATAAAAAACGCCTGAGGCCTTGGCTGCATTTTTAGGTAAATAGTACCATATAACTTTGTTGTTTGCAAAACTTGTGCATAATTTTTAGAAATATACAATTTCTATTTGAATTTCAAGTTATGAAAATGATTCATTAAACATGTTTGTGGGTTTTACAGTAAAAAATATGTAACTTTTCTATTCGGATTTTGATTTTTTGTCTAAATTTAGATAAATTGTGCTAATATTGTATGAAAAAATAACTCAAATTTCAGATATTTGAGGTTTTGCTGAAAATAATGATACCAAACAAGGCAAGATAAACAGTTTTTAAAGGTAAAATCAAATGTAGTTAAAAAACGGCCAATTATACCCTGGACCCCAGAGGGTTAAAACTATGTTCCTTACTGCAATGTTGTACTGAAAACATAAAGGGAATGATATGAGAATTCTAAATATCACCTTATTTGACATCTGACCTCTTCTTTAAGGTCAAGCAAAGTCAAACTTTAATGAAATGTCTTTTATCTCTAAAACTATGCTTTAAATTCTGCTGCCTTTGTGTGTGTGTTGGCCACTTTTAGGAAATAATACTGGTATATTGGGATTCTAAATATCACATTATAGTTTGCATTTAAATATCATGTCAAATTTGACCTCTGACCTCACTTTCACATTTGACAGCTGCCTTTCTTTTACACTGACCCCAAAATGTGTTATATCTTTATAAAAGACAGTTTTGTTAAGAGAAAGAGGATAACTGTTAAGTATAATAAAATAAGTTTCAACAGGGCACTTGGCAAAAGTGTGGATTTTACACTTGATTTTATTCCAGTACAACAAAAATTTCAAGTACGTTAAAAAAGAACAAAAAAACAAAATGATTATGATAATGCCCAGAGAGGGGTCTGTCCGTCTTCTTGTTCTACATCACATCTATGGGATGAATAATAAACATAGGTCCAATATGTTTATTGTCTTCATCTTTTTCCTGAAGTCAACAGGCGCAGGATGTGAGTGGGCGTTAAGCCGTCGAGGAAAGGATCTCAAAACTGGATTATAGATGGCAGACAGCTGATGTCGTAAACCACCGCCTCTGTTCACTGCCACTGTGAACGACCATCTTTGAACAGAGGAAATCAAATGATAGGGTGGGGCTAGGTTTCACAGCGGGTTCACGCAAAACCTTGGCTAATTGTGACCTACACCCGTTTTCACAACTTGGCACGTGTGATTAGGTAGAAAATCAACAGGGGGTTCATGACCCCCTTGGAGGACACTCCCCTAGGACTTAAATCTGGGACTCTCCACCATTTGACCTTAGAACTCAAGAAGCTTCTCAGATAAGAGGTGAAATGTCCTCAAGGAACTTAAAGAAGTCCAGATGCTTTTCTTTCCAAGCTCTTTAGACTACCATGACCTAGATGACTGAGAACCTTCACAGACTTATTTCACGCAAACACCACATGAGGCCACAACATGAAATTGCTATTGACAATGGAAACAGTGCCTATATGTATTTTTGTAGACTTTTGAATATGATATATTCTGATGCTGCCTGTGGTTTCCTGACAGTAAATATAACAAGTATGAAAACTACATTTACATATAACTCAGATAGGTGTAGTTTTCACAGTCACAGTATTCAGGTTCTTCATCATGGCTGGACATCTGCTGTTTGTCATCCTCATCTGTAAGTTCAACGTTTTATCATTTCTTTGTATTTGAAATGGTTTTGTATTTAACCCGATACCTTTTTAATGTCTGCTTTTAAACAATATTAAATGTTTATGTAATTACAGTATATTATATTAGCCTGACAGAAATACATTTAGTGGGAGAAGCAATCTTTTAACATTTTGTTTTTAATCAGTTCTTTCTCCAACAGATTTCTTTGATGATATCAAAGCACAAGGTCAGTCACTGAGTCTAGTATTATGTTTCTTGGTCACCATCATGGATATTATTTGTATTTCATTCACTTATGTTCGCCTCTAACTTTTCAGCCTTTAATCTGCCAAAAGTGATTCTGAGTAAATCCCTGATCACAGAGACAGACTCAGTCACAGTGAGCTGTGAAGCTCCATCATCTATTTCTGTGTCTCAGTGTAATTTCTACATTGCAAGTCAAACAGTGTCTACAGGTTCCTCCTGTGTGCAGACACTAACAGGGACTATGCTGCTGAGGATGGCTCGAAAGACTTTACCTGCTGCGGTTGAAGTTAGATGTGCTTATGTTGCAAAGCGTGATGGGTCTTATTTAACATCTCTTGACAGTGAACCATCTACCATCGCCATAAATGGTACGTAACTTTTCTGACATATATATTGCAATTACAGTATATACATGAACCTGAATCATTTACATCTCGGTGCTGACTCTGATAATTACCTAACTTCAATTTTTCAGCCCTTCTTCCTCCTAAACTGAAAGTGAGACCACAGGTGATCACAGAGACAGACTCAGTCATACTGGACTGTGAGACTCCACCATCTGTTTCTATATCTGATTGTTATTTTCGCACTTCAGGACAACAACTTGCCAAGAAATTTTCTTGTTTGCAGAAACTGAATGGATCTGAAATCCTATCACTTGCACATCAAAGTGCACCTGTTACATTAAAAGTGACCTGTTTTTACCTTTTTATATATCAGTCTCCAATGAGTAATGTGTCTCCACTCACCATAAGATGTGAGTAAATATGACTGTAAAATATTACTTTTAGTTGCAGTATTACAATAAGCAGCAAAACCACCCTATACCTATTCCAGACACATATGTTATAATCTGTCTCTGCAGCTTTTCTCCAACCTACACTGACAGTGAGTAGATCAGCTATCACAGAGATGGATTCAGTCACACTGAACTGTGAGGCTCCATCTTCGGTTTCAGAGTGTTATTTCTACACTTCGAGTAAAGGAACTGTTAGAAAGTTGTCCTGTCTGACACAACAGACAGCAACTGAACTTCTGGAGATGGCCGGTGTCAGACCACCTGCAGAGATTAAAGTGAGTTGTTCTTACACGCCCCAGACAGGAGGGTCAAACTCTTTTTACAGTGACTCTTCCTCCATCATCATCAAAAGTGAGTTAGCGGCTTTACCACAAAGTACTGATGTTATCTTAATGTGTGAAAGCAAAGAATGCATGATGGTCAGGCACAGATGTGATCCTAACTGTATTTAATGTTTCAACTTTTCAGCTCCCCTTCCACCTAAACTCATTATTAATCCACCAGTGATCACAGAGACAGAGTCAGTCACACTGAACTGTGAGACTCCTTCATCTGTTTCTGTGCCTGAATGTTATTTCTACACTTTGAGTGGAGGGACGGTGAAAGGGTTTTCCTGTCTAACAACACTGACAGCAACCACGCTGCTGGAGATGGCAAATCTCAGGACACCTGCTGAAATTAAAGTGATCTGTTTTTACACTGCACAACCTGGAGAGTTAAAGTCTCGGAACAGTAGCACGTCGACCATTACAGTACAAAGTAAGTGACCTTCTTTTTCATCACATTGTATACTAATACAGCATCCTAACAACAGAAGTTTTGTGCTGTAATGTTTCAGCTTTAAATGTGTTTTTAGGGGGAAATATAAAGAATGGAAAAAGAACCATGGATTTAGTAACCATCTTTCCGGGTGACAAAACTGGTATTCCTTATATTTTTTATGACACAACCTGGAGGGTCAGGCTCTCCATACAGTAACCTAACCTCCATTGCTGTACAAAGTAAGTGTTTGCCACTCTTGTCCCATCATCATTTTGTACTACTTTTGTGTATTTACTACCGTTGCAGGAATGCCCATAACGCCAACTTCAGAGAAACATGTATCAGGTGATGAAACTGTAAACTGATTCTGAGACACTTTACGTAAAGCGATGACACATATGTAGATTTCAGTATGTTTTTTTGCATTTCAGACAGACAGCATCTGTATATACCCATTTCTTCAGATAACACACATCCAATGGATCCATCACCACAAGATGAAAAAACCGGTAGACTGGCTATGTTAACAAGCACAATCGGTCATATATTATACCTGCTGACACACATATCTCCCATTCTACCTTTAAATACTACATATTGTCAATCCTACTTATTTGTTTAATATGTCCATTGAAGGACATATCCTGATCAAAAATGACTCCAAGATTTCTCACAGTGTTACTAGAGGCCAAGGTAATGCTATCTAGAGTAAGAGTCTGGTTAGATACTATATTTCTAAGATTTTCAGGGCTGAGTACAATAACCTCAGTTTAATCTCAATTTAGAAGGAGAAAGTTAGAGGCCATCCAGATTTTTATGTCTTCAAGACCTTCCTGCAGTTTAACTGAATGGTGTGTGTTAACAAAAACTTTCATATGATAGCGTTCTTTGCTAATAAATGTTTCCATTGCAGGGACGCTGCTGATAACTGTAATTGTTGTGAGTTGTTCCGGAGTAGCTGTGGCCTTCATCGTCATGGGATTTTTACTTCTCTACACTCAAAGAAGAGCTGGTGAGAATCTGAGCTTCTTTGTTTTTTGGAGATACTGGATCTCTAGTGGATTTTTAATTAAAAATCAAGATATAATTTCTGCAGATTTTTAAGCTTAGTGAAAGAAGATTAACAAAAGTACTACATTATCTGTTAACATTTACATTCATTTTTATATCTAGGCCATAATTTGCAGACAAATCAAAGTTGGATTTTCCTTTATTTTATTTCCTAGTAATATTTTTTTCCAAATTATGATAATTATAAATTTATGGCTCTGGAATAACATTACAGAAAATTATAGAATATAAAATTCTATTTATATGTGTAAACTGGGCACATATAACTAAGCTTCAATTATTTAAGGCAAATTACCTTCATATTTTATATACAGTAGGGAACAAAAGGGAACAAAAGTATATTAAAGTATAATATAAAAAGTTTCCTCATGAGCAACAAGTTTTTGCATGAACAAGATTTAAAGTACTTCAGCTTGGACATGACGGGATTTATCTGCTAGCAAACTGTATATTTCCCAAAATGTTCAAAAGTGCTGTCTGTTTTTTCTGTTCATAGAGTGAAGAATGCCAACAGAGGCACCTCAGAGAAATTATGGGTGTCATTTCAAAAGAATACAGTGTTGACAATGGGATTAATTATGAAGTTAAACATTTTATTACTGTCAGCTTTTGTGTGTGTTTTTTATAATTTACATTTCATTTAAAGTTTGATCCCCAAATGGTTTCATGTTGACACAGAGATGCAAATTAACTATAAAGAAATAAATAGTGTGTTCAAACAAGATGATAAAACCAATAAAAAGTAAATTATCTATAAATAATAAAATAATAACTATTTTAGAGCTCACTGATGTTGTTTTTGTCCTTAAAAACAAAATAAACATATTGTAAGAACTCCAGCAAGAGAGAGAGTGTAAATTATTGGTCAGATTGTCTGTATACTTCTCTCATTATGTTTTTTTCCTTTGTTTTTGTTTCGTTTGTGGCTGCTATGGACTGGATTGCACAGCCACATCTTTAATTTTAGTTAATATCATCAGTGTAGCATTTGCAGTTGTTTTAAGGTTTCTAATAACAAATAGTTTTTAGATGGTATTTTTGATGTTCTTATGTAGACTCACTCTTTCTCTCTGTAGGCATAAGAAATGAAACAGGAAGGGTAATGTGACATGTACTGTTGCACTAACTTTGAAGCCCTAGCCTAAAAATGACTCCCACAGACCCTAAAACACATTTAATGCAGTTCTTTTCAGCATTTGATGCTAATCTGAATAAACACACATACAGAATTAGACTGCTTAACTGGTAAGACAGAAATGAAACTGATATTGACGTCTGTCTTTTTAGTTTATTTCACTGGTTCTGAATCTGCACCAGTTGGTCTGTACTAAAATGAATAAATCTAAATATACAACATGATGGGGGGTTTACAGAGGAAGACTAAATGTGTTTTTGTGGTTATTGTATTTTGATGCTGTTCTGGTTTCCTGACATGTATAAAGTGTCGACAAAATGTGATTGTTAAAGTCAGGTAGATGTAGTGTTTGGAGGTATTCCTCTCAGTTGTAGTAATCTGCCGTTTGCCATCTTCCTCTCTATGCTGAACTCTTCTGTCATATACATTGTTTAATTGTTCATACTGCTACTTAACCTCAATTAAAACACGATGCCTTAATTAATTAACCTTCCAGCAATCGATATTATTATTAGTGGATTTATTTAATTTGTTGACTATTTGTTTCTCCAACAGATTATTTTTGTGAGAAGTTACATTTGATGAATCTAATATGTGTTTTAATGGTTTTAGTGGTTATCTTTATTGACAACTGACATTGTTGGACACCAGCATCTGCCTCAGTATTTCAGTGCTATTTTGATACTGGAGAGAAATAAACTACTAAAGGCTGGCATTAAAGTGTTTTGATGTACATGATATGAAAATGTAAAAGAAAAAGAAATAGCAAACAAACATGTAAACTGTTTTGTACAATTGACAAAGAGTTCATCTAAATATATTTGTCACGTTCCCCCGTGCGCTGTTTGGATGAGTGTGTTTTTTATATTCTAGAGTCTGAGTGTGTCAGAGGTCTCCGCCCGATTGGCCACATGTCAAATCTTTCACCTGAGCCGTTGGATTAGTTCCCATTGGGGTTTAAAAGCTTGGATCTTCTCAGGCACTGCCAGATTGTTGCACTGCATGTTGTGAAGGAAGTCTGGATCCAAACTATTGCTTCTCTGTTGTTGCCTTGTTATCATTGTTCGCTTTACTTTTTCTTTGTCCAGAAACCCACCCCTGAGGAGAAACTGTGCGAGAGGATTTTATCTGGAAACACACGAGGGAGAGTCAACCACTGAATTATTGATAATTCACCTTTTTACCAACATGTTTCTGAGGAAAAGCCTGTTGCCAGCCTATTGAATAATTCCTTCTTTTTAATCTTACCGCTGTGCTCTGTGCATGTGTCCAGGTTTCCATACAGCTAGTTTTATGAGTTGAGGGTTAAAAAGAGTGTGCCAGAACAGGTCTATTTGAAGAGTGTCTTTCTGTGGCCACCTAATGTTTACATCAGAATAGTCAGAGTAGTTTTAGTTTGTACATTCACATCATTCATTTTAATATGGCTGCTGCTAGTGGTCTTTATGTGTTAGTGCATTGTTGTTTATCTTTTGTCTTTTTCCTATTTTACTTGTGAGGTTCGTTTTGTTGCTTTGCTTTGATTTCCAGCTTTTATCTATAATCATCTTCTCTGCTCTGCTCTCATTGGTTTCACCTCAGTTTATTTTTACCCGAGTTCACTGGGCCTATTTGTGTATCTAGTGTTGTCTTGTCTTGTGTTGTCTTCTACAAGAGCCTTGCTTCACCCACAACCTGTTCTAGCTTTCTTTAAAAACAAGTTTTTTCTGAATGGCTGAACATAACAATGATGAGATTTGAACAGCAGGTAGGAGGAGCGTCTATCTTTTAAGGCAAAACTCTTTTACTTTATATGGTCTCATTTTAGACAAGTTATTTATAATTCTATTGGTCCATTTATTCTCATGTATTGAGGTTGTTGCTATGCCTTGCAAGAAAAAAATATGGCATAGGCATTCATGGTTTATAGTAATGAGACCTCTGCTGTATAGTTTATATGAACTCTAGCTCACCTGTAGCTATCTGTATGCTAAAATGCATTTTTACTTGAAAGTAAGTTTTGTAATGGCTGGTGAACAAACACAAAAACTTTTAATATAGGTGAGAGTCAGAGCAGACAGACTGTTGTAGTCTGTTCTGCACATTAACATTGTGCTTTTTATCATGGCTAATCTCCTGCTGCTAGTCGTTCTGCGTACCAACAGTGAGTAAATACTACTGCATTAGTATGAGGAAGTTTGGCTACTGTATCAGCACAAAAACAAAGCTGCTCTCAACTTTGGTTGTGAGAGGTGTGTGGAAAATTTTCATGTGCATGGGGTATTTTTTATAAAAAAAAAAAAAATCCACTCAGAGCAGTTTCTATTAATACATTTTATTTTCAAGTAAATTATAAATTAGCTTATATTGCTTCTATATATTGACTGTTTCTTTTTTAGCTCCTCAGCCTGAACTGACTGCGGATCCACAGATGATCACTGAGAGAGACTCAGTCATCGTGAACTCCATCATCTGTTTCTGTGACTCAGTTTTATTTATACTTGAGAAATTCTGTCTCCTGTCAGCACACACAGATTTCACCTGTTGATGTTGAAGCGGCATGCTGTTAAACTTCAGCCCACAAAAAGAGATAATATCATTCTCCTCACAGTAACATATCCTTCATTAGCATACAAAGTAGGCGATCATACTGCTTTTCTTGTTGTTGTTTATTCTTTCAGGATCATATGTTGTGTTCTCAGTTTTGTCATTTAAGTGAATAAGAACCTCTTACATGTAAAACATCAAAACAAAATAAATAATGAAGGAACATGTATATTATTCTGTGTCAGTTACCCAACACGGTATCAGAGTTTATTTAAATTCATTATAATTTAATGTTCAGCAAATGTTTACACATTTTAGCTTTTTGGCGTGAACTCACAGTGAATCTATGGGTGATCACTGAAAAAGACTGTCAACTGTCAGACTCCATTATTTGTTTCTGTGTCTGAATGCTTTTTGTTTTCTATCATCGTCTCTTTTATCCAGATTGTTTCAAAGCTTTTACTTGTAGTATTAGTAAGCCAATACTACAAAAAAGAGGGGAACAAAGTAGTCTCTTGCTATAGTGCAGTATGTCGATATATTTAGGTGTTATAAACTAACTAAAGAACTAATTTAACAAAATCTCAAAAATATGACGTGTATTGAGAGCTAATATGAAACTAATTTAGATAATACTTAATGTGCTTATTTTAAGTGACACAGTTGCAGGTTAAATGTAATAAAAAAATAAGAATTAGATGATTTAGTAGCCACACCTTTGTGAATTTCAGAGATATGGGCGGATCTAGAATGATCTCTTGCCACCCCTAGTGCCACCCTAGTTTTGCATATGACAGTGTTGTATATCAAAATAAGATAGAATAAACACTTTGAGCCTAGGTACAGTTCACACTGAAAATAAATTCTAAAACCAAATATATTGCATGGTGTTACCCCCTTCCACCATTAACAAATGGTTCAGCCCATAGCAGAGACAGGCTTTATTTCTTGTTTTCAGTAGCAACTGTTGTGGCAGATTTCTTTTCTGATGTATTGATCATATATTTTTAATCATATCATGTCTGTTAAATTCACACTATTTTAACACTGATGAGAGATAACAAGCTGATCTTCATTGCATGTGTGTTTGTGTTATTAGGCAGGTTTAATCAATGTCTGTGGAGCTGCATCTCCAGCAGAGCATGTTCTTAAAGCTGCCTTTCCTACACACTTCATTTTTTAACTAATGTGCTATGAGTCCACTGGTCTTTGCATCACTTTTCATCACACAAAGTGACTTGGACAAGATGATAAACAGACTCACATGCTCAAGATGCTGTCTAATCTTCATGAGCTCTCTTGTGTTAGTAGGGTTAATACATGTTCTGCTTGTGTGTGTGATTTTATATATGTTTCTTTTTGCAGTGTTTCAGACTCCTTCACAATTTTCCAACTTAAGCAGTCAGTTTTCTTTTTCCCAGGTTTGCTAACCCAAATTTTGATTTCCCACATGAAACAACAGCAATCTCACTTACTCTCAGAGGCGGTCGTAGCCTGTTTGGCGCCCTGGGCGAACA